GAATTAGGACTTCAAAATATGAATTTGGGAGGGAGAGCCCGCACAGTTCAGCCCATAACACCTACCTTCCTCTAGATCAACTCGGTTCCTAGCTCTTCTGGGAAGACTGCCATCTTTTTTTTTTTTTTTTTTTTTTTTTTTGACAGGCATAGTGGACAGTGAGAGAGACAGAGAGAGAAAGGTCTTCCTTTTGCCGTTGGTTCACCCTCCAATGGCTGCCACGGCCAGCACGCTGCTGCTGGCGCACCACGCTGATCTGATGGCAGGAGCCAGGTACTTATCCTGGTCTCCCATGGGGTGCAGGGCCCAAGCACTTGGGCCATCCTCCACTGCACTCCCTGGCCACAGCAGAGAGCTGGCCTGGAAGAGGGCCACCCGGGACAAGAACCCGGGCCCCGCCCGGGCTTAGAAACCCGGGTGTCCGGCCCCCCAAGGCGGAGGATTAGCCTAGTGAGCCGCAGCTCCGGCCAAGACTGGCATCTTCTGAATCATTATTCTCCTGGTCATAGTCAAAGTTTAACACGAAGTTGAATGTAGTTGTAACCAAGCTTACATTTCTTCCTTTTTTTTTTTTTTTTTTTCGCCACCAGGCACAACATGATTGTCAGCATGCATGATATTATTTTGACTTTCTCAGTATTATCGACAGATCTTCATAATCAAAAAACATTTAGTGTTGATCAGGGCTTTTGAAAATGCTTAATTAAGCTTCACACACCCCCCCCCCCCATTTAGGATCTTGTCAACAATAATTGTTAACAGAAAGTCCACATATTTTCTGCACGGATATCATTAAAGATGGAAGTATTTACAAAGCAAGCCATTATCTTTTCATACAACTTTGTTGCTTTTATAAAACAGTGGACTCTTAATAATTATTTTTGCCAATAAAGCCTGTGGCAGTTTTGATAAAATTTAGTAATGAAAATTCAGTAATACAATAGAATCTTGTTATCAATGATTGTAGAATCTAGCACTTAGAGAGTAAAAGGGCACTATTACTGACTACTGTGCTGAGTCAACCAGAGAAATTAGGAGACCCAGGATATAAACCCACTTCAAATTGGAGACATATTTTGAGCATTTGTGAATTTCTAAATTTTTTGTTCTTTTTATTATCCTAAGACTATTCTAGGGGGAAACTATTCTAGGGGGAGCACATGTAGATTGTTGGAGGGGAAGCTAGTGTTAATGTGTCCCACAATTGGCTCTAAGATAAAAGATGGTCACCCCACCTCTTACTGTCATGGTAAGAGCATTTTTTACTTTTTTTAAGAAATTAATTTTTAAATTTATTTGAGAGAGAAAGAGAAAGGCACACACAGAAAGAGTTCCCATCCACTGGTGCACTCCATAAGTGCCTGAAACAGCCAGGGCTAGGTCAAGCTGAATTTGGGAGCCAGAAACTCCATCCAGGTCTCTGAAGTGAGTAGCAGGGATCAAACCATTTGAGCTATCACCTGCTGCTTCTGAAGATGTTAAGAGCCATTTCCTTCCTTCCTCTCTCCCTCCCTCCCTTCCTTCCTTCCTTCCTTCCTTCCTTCCTTCCTTCCTTCCTTCCTTCCTTCCATCCATCCATAGGCAGAGTTACAGAGAGAGACGGAGAAACAGAGAAATCTTCCATCTGCTGGTTCACTCCCTAAATGGCCACAATGGCCAGGGATGGGCCAGATTGAAGTCAGGAGCTTAGTCTGTGTCTTTAACATGGGTTCAGGGGCCCAAGCATTTGAGCTATCTTCCACTGCTTTCCAAGGCTCATTAGCAAGTAGCTGGATTGGAAGTGAAACAGCTGGGACTCAAAAGGCTCCCCTACACAATAGTGGTACTGCAGGCAGGGACTTAACCTGCTGCACCACAGTGCTGGCCGCTAAGAGCATTTTCAGATAAACTCACCTTAGGGTAAACTAAAAAGAAATATGTAACTTTCTTGCATAATTGATTAGTATTAATAACTGTAAACTATGTTGATTAACTACTCTCAGATTATAGTTTAATTGCTCTTTAGGATATTAGCCAGTGTAGTATCTAACTTTGCATGATCTTAGCATTCTTTTCAATGGCTGGTTACCAAAAAAATGTTTTTTGAATATTTTATTTTGAATCAATTTTATCATTGTGTTAAATAAAACTCTGTCCCATATTCACTTATATATGAAAGTTGTGGGGTTTTTTTGAGGAGTTTGCTTTGATGGGGCACAGAAAATAAAAACAAATATGTTGTATGTTGGGTGATGTGGAGAAAAAAAGTGAGATGTGTGGGGTTGGTGTTTATCATTCATCGAAATGATGTTCTTTGAAACCCATTTTATCATAGAAACCCAGCCTCCTGTGCCCTTTAAAGCCTAGGTGGTTTTAAACTACTGTAAGTGACAGAGTAGAGGAGTTGCAGTCTTCTAGTGGAATCTGGAGGAGGTTGAGTGTGGGCAGCATTGATTGCTGCATGAGGATACTCAGGGGAGAGGAGATTCCCAGGGAAGGGGCAATGAGGACAGGAAGCTCGTTTACCCTAGGAAATGCATCACCAATTCCCTCCTTTCTCTCTAAATTGAAATCTTCAGAAAATCTAATCCTCTGTGGGGATGGATTGTTTCTGGATAGCCAGAAGAATTGTTCAATGCTCTGACAGATCAGTGACTATATATGAGAACACTGGAACCAGAGGATGGCTGACTGGGCGGAGAAGACACTGTGAACATCTCAGTTACAAATAGCTTTACCTTTCTGTGCCAGTACCATGAATATACTTTAAATAGTGATATCATTGACCACACATCCATTTGCTGGGTCTTTTCACTTGACATTAAATTCTTTTAATTGCTATCTACTCATCTTGTATTTATATTATTGGTATTTTACTGAAATTCAAGACTGCATGCTTATGTCCATTATATTCAACTTAGAAATTTAAAATTTATTTTATTGCTTTTGGGAGCCACTATCCAATATATGAGCTAACAAGTTTCCTATTAAGTACAGATCCAGCTGAACTTTGACTTTTAGCCATCTCATTCTCCAAATATCAAGGTCTTTTTGTTGGTTGAAATAAAAAATTTGTGTATTATACAATACTGCTTTAACCTTTTTTTTAGGCTAGAGATACAAAGAATGTATTCATGAAGTCAAAAAATCTCCAACGAGGTGAATATCCTGAGATGGAGGCCAAATCAATAAGCTGATAATCAAATGATGATCAATCTAATGGAGACAGTGGTCAAGATCATCCAAAAAACATTCCCTGGTTTTGGTTAATCTCCCCATTTACACAAATCAGAACTGATACAGGGCTGAGGCACAGTGGGTTAAATCACCGCTTGGGATGCTTGTACCCCATATTGGAATGCTGGTTCAAGTCCTGGCTCCTGTGTTTCTGATCCAGCTTCCTAAAAGCACCAGATGTTGACCCATGTACCTGGGTTCCTGCCACTCACTTAAAAGACCCAGATGGAGTTCTGGCTACTTTCTGGCTTTGGCCTGACCCACTTGTGGGCATTTGGGGAAAGAGCCAAGTGGATGGAAAATCTGTCTTGTCTCTTCCCCCTCCCCGGCCCTGGTCTGTATTGCTTTGACTTTTAAATCAATCAGTCAATAACTCTTTAAAAAAATAACTTCTACACATATAAAACCAAACCTGAATTATATGCATCACTGATGAACTCTGAATTTTGGTGTAATTAAGAGCAATCAGCCTCTGGACCTCGGAGCTATAGGCAGAACATGACTTCATGGGACTTTCAGAACCTGAGAAGTCAATTAGGTTGCAGCCCCAGCTCTAGAAATGGGCCACACACATAACCCCCCTGAAATGAATGGCCAACCACCACATTCCAAGAGTTCTCCAGAGGAAGAGATTTCACAACATTCCCCACAAACCAACTGTGGGATTTCACATTGAATTTCCTAATATCTAATCTGGATCTTTTCTGCTGAACTTTAAGCTCATTTCCTCTTTTTTCCATTCTCAGATGAGGTGGGAAACATCTGGAGAATATTTTTCTTAAAATAATAGCTCACATATTTGAAGTATGTAATTAACTCCCTTTGTTTCTCTAGCTGGAATAGTATCAGTTGCTAAATAGTTTATACAATACTTAAGAGAACCTCTAAAAGAGAAATTTGTAAAGTGGGACTTTTTTTTCTTCCCGTAATGTGAAAGCATTATTGTTCTGTGAATATAGAGTACCTAAGTTCTTGTTCTGATCTGAGTTAGTCACCCATTCTCACTGTGCACTGTTCTCTCATTTGCAAAATGAGGACATTGGCTAGGACATTTAAGGTCTCATACATTTAAGGTCTCATAAGTTCTAATGTTTTCTGGTCACTGTGAATATGAGAACACATACATACTTTATAGATAAATGATTTCACAAATATAGATGCTTGCTATCTTTTGAGTAAGATATAGTTCCTGAGCTGATGCAAATGTTTAAAGCTTAATATTATTTTTAAAATTTATTTTCATTTTATTTGAAAGGCAGAGAGTCAGAGAGACAAAAACTGATCTTCCACTTGTTGGTTCAGTCACCAAACCTGTAACAGCCAGGGCTGGGCTAGGTTGAAACCAGGAACTGGAAATCAATCTAGGTCTCCCCTGATGGTGGCAAGGGACGCAAGTACTGGAACCATCACATGCTGCCTCCCAGGGTACGCAGTAGCAGGAAGCTGGATCAGAAGTGGAGGAGCTAGAACTTGAACCAGGAACTCAGATATGGGATGCAGGCATCTCACCTGACAATGTACCCACTAGCCAAATGCTTGCCCTGTTTTTATTTCTTTCATTTGAAGTTTAAACCCCAGAGTCTTGTGAGTCTTGTGTTGGTGGTACTGGGAGTGTGGAAACTTAATGCAACTGTAGCATCTAGGAGGTGGGCCTAGTCATTGAGGGGGCACACCCTTGGAAGGTAGTTCTTCCTTCCAAGAAAAATTGGTTATAAGAGTATGAACTGGGCCTTGCTACTGTCTCTCTGCATCCTAGCTCACCTTGTGATCATTCTCCCATGCAGTCTCTTCCACTGTCACCCTCTATCCTCCCCGGTTGGCTGAACCAATGAGACCTGCCTGATCTTGGACAGTAAACTTCCAAAACTTCCAGTGAACTTCTAAAACTCACTTGGACAGTGAGGTACGATATATCTCCTTCCTTCCTAAGTAGTAACAAAAGGCTGTTATAATACTCAAGCCTTTGAATGTCAGAAAATTAGTTCAATTTCATATGTCTCATTACTTTTCAATATTTCACTGTCCCTTATTACAACTGAAGATAAAACAAAGCAAGTTTGTATACCCTTCTTCTTTCTCCTGTAAATATTCCTTGGTAAAATATGCTGTGCCTAAGGAGAAACCAAAGCAAGAAACTAAATAAGAAATAAAGTTTGGGGAGAAAATTAAGTGATGTACATTTTGTTGAATACAACTGTGAAGCTTACTGAGACATCTTCAAAAGGTGGCTATAAATGATCAACACCTTCTACAATCTATGGACTCAAAAATGCTCTCAGTCATTGGGAAAATGTTGACAAATGCCTTCTGTAATAAAAATGACTGCTGAATGTGACATATGTGTCTTGGGAAATGGAAGTGGGTAGTGAAGAGGTGTTATGTACTCATTTGTTAGGAACTATAACAATTTTGATTTTGTGAGAAAAACTGAAGATCTACAATCTAGAGACAACTCTACAGTAAATTCTGGTGGCACTTCAAAACATTTGTAGAAAGTGGAATTAAAAAAAGTTTGTTTTGGTACAAAAATATTTTGAAATCTATGCATATGATAGGTCTTTATAAAGTTAATGAAAAATATGCATTAAAAAAAAAAAACCTGTGCAGGGCCAGCATGGCCCAGGTAAGGTATTGGAAGATGACCCAAGTATTTGGGCCCCTGTTACCTATGTTGGAGGCATGGATGGAGTTCCTAACTCCTGGTTGGCCTGGTCCAGACCTGATTGTTACAGCCATTTGGGGAGTGAACCAGTGGATGGAAGATGGATCCCCCCCCACCCCGTCTCCTTGTTCTGCCATTCACAAAAATGGATAGTCTTCAAAACAAAACAAAAAATTATGCACGGATTTCAGTTTTTTTCACCAAAATAAACTTATCTTTTAATTTTACTTTTCCATCAATTTTTTGAATTATCCTCACAGGTGATGGTGAGAGCTTCCCAAGAATAAGGTCCTCACCACTACATGGGCTTCGTGATGCACTGTAAGGTGAATTCTTCCCTGGTGTAGCCCGAGGACAACCGAGCACTCTGTTGACAACATGAGCATCTTTCCTCTCTGCACTAGTATAGTTTGTGTAACACAGTTTAAAAGAAAATTATTTTCAGGAGTTTGCAAGGGAGAGATGTGTGGGCAAACATCATCTAAGGTAATCCATTAAACTGAACATTATAAAAATATTTATTTGGAGCGAATAGCTCTATTGTGTCATGTAAAATAAAAATTTCATAGAACATTTCTTCACCGCAAGCACTTTATCTCATCCTAATCTTTTTCATACCAATGAATTGCAAATGAACTTCAACAAACCAGAACTCAACAGTGTCCTTGTCATGTGCATAATTAAACTTGGTGGTTGTGGTTGCAGTGTTTCTTTTAAATAACATGGATGAATCGAATATGGTAAAATCATAAAATTAGGCTCATGTTCAAAGTATTTAAGGTCATAGAAACTCGAAAGTTTAATTGCATTAGGCAAAAAAACAAAAGCAGATAACCTGCTTCCTAAATAACCTCCATCTGGATCCTGAGCCAGAAGGAGCTTGAGTTCCGGGGCAGCCTGGAGGTATATGAGGGAGGCCAGGGAGGAGCAGATGGTTTACCTGCAGACTCCAACTTTTCTTTCTCTTTCTGTAATTCTAGTTGCCTTCTGCATGTTTCACTGTTGTATAGCACCTCATTCAAGTAGGGGGACGGATCAGTTGAAACTCAAATCCGTTAATGGTGTTTCCAAATATTATTAGAACTTAGAACTTTCAGTGAGAGTTTTAAAAACTTGAAAAAAGTGGAAATGCATACAAAGTACAGTGACCTCAGTTCCCAGGCAGCAAGGGCACTTTCTGGAAGCAGGAGGGAAAACCATTTGGCAGCACAGATGTTTCTCCCAGTGATTTCTTAGGACATTGACTCAAGGGCACAGGAGAGTCCTTTTCTCTGCTCCATTCTGTTTGGAATCTTGCATTCACTCTGTCAGTATTCAGAAGATGCCATTGCTCACATTCTCTTTTTATGAGCAGACTATTATAGCCATATATTGTTCATTTCACTATTTTTATAGGAAACTGTGAAACAAGCAAAATTCTCTGAACCAAGGAATAAATCCTAGGCTAACCCATCTCTTCATAATATGAAAAAATAAATTAATTAAATTGCTGTAGGGATGCATATGTGTCTTGGTGGGTTTAGAAGCCAGATGTAAAGAATGGGAGACCACAAGTGTTTTTTCATTTTTTACTTTTGACTTGGTTTTTTGGGGGGTTCCAATTGTTGACATTGTATTTAGCCAAGATTGTTTTGAGACATCAAAGCTCTGAATGATTTAACATTAAATGTCAAGCCCTGGAGATTCTATTGTGCATGGGCAAAACATCAAGTCAATTCAACAGCACTTGGAAAATAAAAATAATGAATTAATTTCTTCTAAAACTGGTTCCCTCTATTCCCGACTCACCCTCCCCTCCTCCACATAGCTAATCTCTTGTCATAATAGCAATGCTACTAAAGTTACAAGATTTAGCCCTGGAAATTTCTGAGTTATAAAAGAAGTCAAAATTCAACAGTTTCTTGGTGAGTGAAAATGTGCATTTTTCTTTTTCTTTCTCTTGCATGGTTCAAGAATAGCAGAAATCATTCCACAAGAGTGTTCCCAACAATGATTTTAAAGAAAACAAATTTTTAGTTCTCAAGCTGGGGCTAAGCCTAAAACACCAAATTGTGATAAACTGCCAGCCACAGAGAGGGCAGTCTCTAAAATCTACCACTTTTCAACCACAGCTCCATCTAGATAATTAGCCTGTGTGGTAACATCCTGCCCTTTGAACACAGGCAAAGCCCAGAGTGCAACCAAACCACAGCTATCTTGGTATTGGAAGGTCCATTTATTTAAGGGATGGAATTTATTTTGAGGGAGAGAGAGATGGATATGCTGTCTGGGAGGAAAAATCATAAGGTTTTCACAGTTAATCCAGAAATATTTTTCAGAGAAAATGGAAATGAAGAAAAGACAAAGAATTATGTAACAGAAGCCAGTCTTGAGGACACATCAGTTGAGAGGATTGGGGATGGGTAAAGGACTTTTCTTATTGTGAGGAAAACTCATTAGAAGGCACAAGAATTCACAAAAACATATGGAATTTCATTGGTAAATATGGTTTGTTATTTCTTAGCACTTGCATTGTGAATTGGACCCTGATTTGGCAAGGAGAGCTGGCATATATCTTTTTTGTCATGAGGTCTTTCAGGATCTCATTCTAGTCAACTATAAAATGAAGGGAATGAATTCAATGGGGGATGGAAGGTCAAGTTGAAGAGTTAGCACTGCAGTATGTGAGTGAGAGAGCTAGCACGGCTAGAGTTCGTGGTGAATGGGGAACATCTGTCCCATCCAAAGAGTGCAGTTGCAGAACTCACTGCCTGCCAGTCATGGGGATATGCACTTAATTTGGGGCAGTCCTTCCAATTTTTCAAGAGAATCCAGAAATAAAGATGTACTGTGAAACCTCTTCAGTTGAAAGTTTGGTGCCTCTCTGTCTCTCTCAAAACATTGTCTGGCAGAAAAGAAAAAAAAAAAAAACCCTCTATGGACAGGAGTCAGCCTTTAGTTAGCTGGATACTTCTGTGCCAGGTTTCTAATATCTCTAATTCTATCATTCTGTTTGGGGATTCCCTATGCCTTGATTTGCTTACATTTCTAAGACCTGGGGCTGGTGTTGTGACACAGCAGGTTAAGCCACTGCTTGGGACACTGACATCGCAATGCTGGCTTGAGTTCTGACTGCTCTGCTTTCAATCCAGCTTCCTGCTAATGCACCTGAGAAAGCAGTGGAAGATGGCATGAGTGCTTGGGTCCCTGACAACCAATGGTGAGACCCCCCTGGAGTTCCAGGTTGGCAGTTGTGGATTTCTGGGAAGTGAACCAGTGGATGGAAGATCTTTCTTTCTTCCCCCCTCCCTCTGTCATTTTGCCTTTCAAATAATAGAAATACAAAAATACATACATGAATCTTTTTAAAAATTTCTAATTCCTGGCATTGTTTCTCTCCACTCTCTGTTAGTCAGTTTAATTACTAAATTCAGCAATCTTACATTGAATTTTTACCCACTCTCTGAGTGACTGGGGATACATCAAAATCAGTGAAAGTGAAACAAAGGCCTGCTCAAGTTCACAGTCAGCTGTGGAAATTGCGACCTCAATTTAGTGTAAATGCTTTGATAAAGACAAACTAGATCAGATATCAGGTCCCTGAGGGAGAAGATCAGAACTAAGAGATGAAGAGTAATTGGGAATTGTCCCGCAGTGGAAAGAGGAGGGTATTTGTTGCTTTACATGAAAAAACATAACAGCAGACATTGAACAGCTTAAATAGTAAGAGTAGTTATATGGGATAATGGTTAAGTGCAGCAACTCTGAGATGAATTTCCTGAATTAAGTCCTAATGCCATAAATTACTGGCTGTGTGATCTTAGGTGAATTACTGAACTTACATGTGCCTTAGTTTCCTTATGATAAATTGAGGATGATGATAATAGTACCTGTCCCATGAGGTTGTTGAGCAGATTAAGAGAACTGATAGACATAAAGTGCTTAGATCAGTGTGGAAGTCTAGTAAGCACTCTAGAAATATTTGCTATTATTTGAATAAGGAAGAACAAATGAGAGGTAGTTATAAAGAAGGAGGAGGATAAAGAAGAGGAAAAGAGAGACATTCTATGACCTTTTGCTTTACTGCATTCTTATTTTAAAGAAACTGGAAGATAATGAGTTTTGTTTTTACTCTGCTCTAGACTTACTATGCAAATTAGACCCCCGCAAATATTGACTTTTTATTGACTGCAAAGGGTTTTGGTTTTGAAACTTAGAGGGCTGAAGACAGTTCTGCAAGGATAGCAACGTGTTGGCCTTTTGGGAGTGACTGTAGAATTTAGAGTAGAATTTACTGCTCGAGGAAGTAAAATTCACAAGCAATAATAGCTATAGTAGGTTAGGAAAGTAATCAATTTACAGTCACTTGTTTTGAAAGCTTTATCTTTCCATGATATTTTTGAGGGCTTGAATAATAATATTGCTATAATGAACACTTACTTAGTGTTTACCATATTTCAGGAGTTGAATCTGAAAGATTCTCTCCCCATCCATTAACCTTTGCATATATCAAACCTACACTGAGTTTGTGTCTGATGAAACACAGAATCAATTTATTATATACTTATTTTGTAGGTAGTGCAAAGTAGAAACATCAAATCTAAAATACCAAGTAAACCCCAAAATATTCTAACCAATAGTGGGTTTTTTAGTACAAAAGTTTAATTTCTCCCAAACTGAAGCAAGTATATAATGTTTTGCAGATTTTATTTTAAAAAGCGAGTTCTTAGTCATAAATTTTAGGAGCTGGTTAAAGAGAGAGGACCCTGCATACAGGAGCACACTTAAGTGTCTGGAAGAGTAGGTTTAGACCTTTGTCTCTGGGAATTCTCTTTGCCTCTAGTTCAGAAATATGCACAAAGTAGGTTTGATAAATGGTCATCAACGTCGTATATGACAGTATCACTTTCTCTCTTTTTTTCAACTTTTATTTAATAAATATAAATTTCCAAAGTACAACTTCTGAATTATAGCAGCTTTCCCCCCCATAACCTCCCTCCCACCTGCAACCATTCCATCTCCCACTCCCTCTCCCATCCCATTCTTCATCAAGATTCATTTTCAGTTATCTTTATATACAGAAGATCAACTTACTATATACTAAGTAAAGATTTCAACAGACTGCATCCACACGGACACACAAAGTATAGAGTACTGTTTGAGTAGTAGTTTTACCATTAATTCACTTAGTACAACACATTAAGAACAGAGATCCTACATGGTGAGTAATTGCACAGTGACTCCTGTTGTTGATTTAACAATTGACACTCTTATTTATGATGTCAGTAATCACCCGAGGCTCTTGTCATGAGCTGCCAAGGCTATGGATTTCACCAACTCCGATCTTATTTAGACAATGCCATAGTCAAAGTGGAAGTTCTCTTCTCCCTTCAGAGAAAGCTAGCTCCTTCTTTGATGGCCCATACTTTCCGCTGGGATCTCACTCACAGAGGGCAGTATCACTTTCATCCTGTCCTTTTGTCTTTTCTGAATGTTAAAAATAAGATCTCAGATCGTGTGATGGCTAGGAGAACATGGTGGCTGCTGGCCACTGAATCAGTGTTATTCTTCCATCTGCCTACTGTTTTCATTCTGTCTGCTGATTATGTATCCTGGTGTCTGCTGCCAGCTCACAAGAATGGAAAATCCTATTTAATAGCCATTCTTCCTTAGAAATTAATAAAGAGTGCTATTTTTGGTTTTAAAAACTTCGTAAAGGAGAGAAATTTTGACTGATGATAAAATAATCTTGAGATTAGTAATCATTTTTCAATCGTTTGCAGGATACTTGAAGGATTCTCTGTATAGCTATGATAAAAGTCTCAGACATGGCTGGAGTTGCATGAGTAGATCACATAGACATTTTTTCTAAATGTCTAGTCCTAACATCTAATTTAGGGCTTTAGATCTGAGATGTCAATCTCTGGAGTTCCATCCTCTTACAAAAATAATCCATGATTTGCCATTTCCTTGTTTGTAAAATTAAGAGTATTGTACTCAGTGATTCCTAATGTTCCTTCCAGGCCAAAAAACTCACTGTCCTTGGCCTTACTCCTTCCAGTCTTTTTCATTCTGTTCAAATCATACCAGGGGAGTCAGACAATAGGTTGTAAAGTTGAGTAGTACCTTGGAAATGGGTGTTAAGGAGGAGGAGGAGATACGGGCATTTTATTATTTCATATTCATGCAGATTCTTTCACAGCACATTGCACAGTGCCATGATTCTTTTCCCCATGATTGCCTGTTTTGTGGGCCACATCTTTGCCACGGATTTCTGTCTCCTTGCTGTGGAAACCAGCCAAGGATACATTACTGACCACCTGCTCACTTTCTTATACAAGACGACTCCCCAGACCTATTTTCTTTGCTTTCTCCTCCTGCTGGTTTATGGCTTTCCCTTATGTAGCAATAAAAGTCTTGGAGAGTGCTCTTAGGGATGAATTAATGCCACTTAAGTATATTTCCGTTAGCTGCCCTTTGATGGTTCTGTTTAAAAATAAAGGGAGAGTTGGGGCAGCTTGGTTCTTATTGAAATTTTCCTTCCCTTTGCTTTAAAGTTACCACTCTTCAGAAACACTTAGTTACACTCTAAGGGAGCTTTGTTAACATTGAAAAAGTGTCTGGGAAATATTGTCAGAAGACAAACTCACCATCTTTTAGTAATATTTTTCCCATTGGAAAGGTATTTGCATTACCAGGAGTCCCAGTTCAGCCTGTGTGAGCTTTCCTTGTATTCCTTTAAATACCAGAAAGCGTGTCTGAATTCCAGAAGAGCAGAAGCTGATTCTGTTCTCCACCCTAATAGCAAACAGATAAAGGATTTCCTGCCATGATCCCATTTCGACTTTGTATAGTCTGTGATTTAGTTTTACTTTCCCTATAGCTTATATTTTATTAATTCATCTGGATCTTGTATTTAATCTGTGTCTCCTTTGGACAGAACATCGTCTGAGATTTAGTTTCCTCTTCTCACAGTCCTAACTCTGAGAGTTGGAAAACACAAGTGTCTTCCCAGGCTTGCCACTGGCCTCTGTGGCCAGGACCAAGTTATAATCAACTGCTTCAGGCTTTTCTGCTGTAAGAGAGGGAAACTGCCACTAGAATGAACTTGTTTTCATTTATTCATTATTTTGTTTCCTTACCAACGGAAGCTACCAGGTGCTGTTCACTGAGAACTGGGGTGTATCCAGGACCCACCCGACTGAGCTCATTACCACATACCACTTCTGTTTTCTTGTTTGTCCTATTTAACAAAATTTTGAAGAATATGTTTTTATTTTTAATTGACAATCAACAAACATATTTTGGAAGCACCATACCAGGGATGATGGAAGATTTATGCCTGTGATGTTGCTTCTGTCTCAGTGGTGACCTGCGGCAAAGTCAGACACAGGGAAAGAGCACAGAGAAACCAGTCCTACCTCCTTTCCTCATTAGCCTTTCTGGTCCTTGGCCCTTTTCCCTTCTACCCGATTTCTCTTCTTCCACTTGTCCCTTCCCATCTCTATCCCCGATTCCATTGCTCTTCTGCAAGTTTCTGATTTTTACCTAATGTTTAAAAATTTCATCAGCCCATTTTTGATCCTGAACCAGAACAAAGACTAATCTCCTCCAAAGGGCACCATGGGACACATGAGTTACAATCATCTTCCTTCCCTACTGGGTTCAAGGGCAG